AGCCCCATGCCCAGGCCTGAACACGCAGCGTCACTCCGCAAATCGTACCAATACAGTTCCGGAAACATTAACCTACCCAAAGGCAACTGCACTTTAGGATGGCATTCCACAGGTATCAGCTTTCCGGCATCACTGATGTCCTGCAGTGTAAATGAGAAAGGCAAGGCCAAACAGCCCTGACAGGATTCTTTGGAGTCCTATTTCTTCTGCATTGTAAAACACTAAATGTCACCAGGAATTCCTTATCTGCTCTCCTGGGTGGTTAAACCCAATGCAAGCGCCTCTAAAATTAAACCATATACTCCCCCGGTATCAGGTGTGTGACACAAAATCTACTTAAGTTTTCTGGTTTGTCATTAGTTGACGGTGAGAAAGGGCAGATGATTTTCAACAGATACTAAATATTCTAGATTCTCAAAGCATTCCAAATTCAGACTGGTTTCTTCTTCGTTAGGTGCTGATTATGTTTGTGCAGTATGCCTCATATAGACATTCAGATAAGAAGGCAAACAGTGTTCTTCATGAAGGTGCTGGACTTTGGAAGGAGGCACCAGACAAGCCTGTTTTATTGACAGCAAATACAAAATTGCATTCAGACGTACTGAAAAAGCCTCCTTGTAGCTATAGTTAATAATCAACATGCATATGCACACAGTAAAAGCCCCAAACATCAAAATGAAGAAAAAAAAAATTAAAAAGGACTAATTCAGTAACTTGATGCTGTCAGCTATAGACAGACTCAGCGATCAGTACATAATACAATACTGCTCTCAGGCAAAATCAAGGCATGAGTAGTGGAAATTTAGTCTTACTTCCAGGTATGTGTCAGATTATTTGGTTTACACTGTACTGGGTGTATGTTTACTTAATGAATGTTTAAAAACTTCATCTGTTAGTTCTCTAAACGTTTTCATTTTTCTGAAGCTACTTTTGTAATAGTGGCCTTACGTTTAATGGTTCTAAAATGCTGTGAAGAGAAGTAATACTATAGACATAGTTAATGTATTCCTAAACTTTTTTTTTAGTAGAATAGTAGAGAACATTGATGGCTAGCAGAAGAGCCTACATTTGGAAATCAACAATGCTTACAAAATTACTCATTGTAATACTGATCACTTAGCATACTTACCATGACAAGATAAATTTTTAAAACAATTCAGCAAATTGGAGAGGCTAGCAACATTATATGGCTTGTTTTAAACATCTATAGTTTCCTTATCTAACCTTGCCTGTCTTTCCTTAAACTGAACTCCAAAAAAAGTTTGTAATTAAAAACTGTTTAAAAAAACTTTTTTATTTGTTCACAGCTCTGTTTATTCTACCCCCCCAGTGAAACAGTCTCCACAGGCTATCTCCCTTGGTAGAGGTCATGAATCTTGTCTTTATTCTACAACTGCCAATAGTACAATTTACATAAAAGACAATTTGGAACAGAGTGGGACAGAACTCCAAACAACTTTTTCTTACCTTTAAATAGGAGTTAAAAAACCCCCAAGAAACTCAATGGCAAAATGGACTGGAACAAGTTTGATCGGTTACAGTTACAAATAGTGGGGTGCAGTAAATTGAAAATACTATCCCCTAAGGGGCCACAACATGATGCAGCCTGCCCCTAGTCTTTCCTTGCCCTGCCAACGACATCAGCCTTTGGGCAAACTTAATCTCTTCCTGATAGCCTTTGCTTCTGCCCCTCCCATGCTTCCTTTTCTATTTTGAATGCTCTTCCAGGTATTTTGGCAAGCCTCAGCCTTCCTTCCCAGCACTCCCACACATTCCAAAGCTGGTTAGTACAATCACAGAGTTCAACCATTAACCAGAAGCTGAATGTAATCAAACACAAACCTCTGCGAACCTCCCTTCCCTTATTCAGCTACCACCTCTTCAGGACAGGTCTTTATCATATTTATTGAAGCTGCTAGAAGACTTTGGGAATTTTAAGGAAACAAGACTGGATGATTTTACCACATTGAGCAGTCTTGCAGGGGAGAGGTAATGTTTCCTAAGAATTATCACAAGTGGAAAGGAAATTAAACTAACAAAGACCAGACAAGCATTTAGGCACTCCTGACAAGCAAACATAGTACTTTGTGTCCAATACAGACTGTGAGCAGTTGGCCTAAGCTTGACTATCCGAATCAAGACTTCCAAAGAACTCACTGGCACACAGGGCACACAGGAAACAACGAATTTTAGCAAGGTTGGACATGCTAGGACTTTCAGACTGCAGGCCAGAAGCAGAAAAATAACAACCATCACCTGCAGAAAGAGTGATTAGCTAGTGGTGAAAACTCATATATACCTAAAAAACCCAACACACTCCACCTTCTCTGCTGTGTCTGAGCATCTAGTACAGCTACAAATGCCAATACTCATCTTTCAAAAGTACTCTGTATGTTTTGCTTCACTGAAGATGGAGTAACTGTCATGGTTCTTACCAATACTAACTGTTTGTAGTGTGTTATGAGAGGATTTTCCTTCAACTTTTTCTTTTAGGAGAGGTGAAGCAAGAAACTACTTACAAGATGTCAGGTGTGTAACCTTGGAGCAATCTGCTTATTCAAGTATGTTAGGGAAGTAAAAAACAGTCCCAGAGTCTTGGGGCAATATGCAAAGTCTGACAGCTCCTCCTTTGCCTCCATGGTAGGAGCATGAGGGCTCACAGAGTCCTTGCCCTTGCTTACAATTTGATGCAAGTATTAGAGCAAAAAATGAGTCATGTCCTATGATTAATTTTGTACACCAAGATAAAACTCATGTGAACTTGCTGACGCTATTTATCTTCACCAGTTAGATTAAATGTATTTATTACTCAGCTACCTAAAACCAGGAAATTGCTTGCATAAATAGCAGTAGCATTAAGGACGAAGGGCAAGGCACATCAAACGTGAAAGCTAAAGTGCTCTTATAAAATCCCCCCAATCACGAAAATTTTGAACAGAATCTTTCCAGAGATTAAGAAACACAAAGAATTCAAAACAATATGGATGTCTGTGGTCTTCAGCTTTATAATCATAGCCTGAAATCACACCTTTACATAATGACTTAAGAATTCTATATGTAACTTTGCTTTGGTATGAACATTTTCACTAGATGTAAGGAAATGGAGAAGGAACCTCTGAATATGAATCAGATTCACGTTAGTAAATATGTTGCATGCAAATTATGTAGAAAACAATTTTCGGAAAAGTCAGTCAGAATAATAATTACACAAGCTATATGTGATCAGGCAAAGGAAGAACCAGGAAGAAGTACACTTGATTCAAGTATCAATTAACATCTATTAAAATGTGTTTAAATAGCTATTTGAACCACTTGGAGATACAGCTAAATATGCATTTTCCATATGCTCTAAATTACTTTCACTGTTCTAAATTCAAAACAGTAAAAAGATGTTCTATTTTTAGCTTTCCTTTGTTAAAAAGAAGCATCTCTTGTACCATATTGGTAATCATTGTATTTACCTCATCCACTAGAGTTGAAATGTCAGGTAATTGTCATATTTTTTGAGTGAAAAACATGCAAATGGTGTGCAAAATCAACAAATTGCTGCTTCCAGTGAAACGTTATTCTCTATTTAATGGTGGGAAATAGCAGGTAACAGCACTTATACTTTAAATGAAATACTGGGCAACAATAATATATAGTTACTGTTTTTCAGTGACAAAATTAATCACAACTGTAACTAGCAAGCCAGAGGATCATGCCAAACTAACAAGTATCAGAGGAACCAAGAAGAAAAACAGTTTGCACTGAACATCTTTTCATATATTGATAATTTATAGGAGTATGGTATAACTGTTTCTTCAAGAATTAGTCAACAACTTTGTGCTTCCATTTTATAGGCAATTAAAAACCACCAGTGGCAATAATACAACAGTGCAAGTGTTGAAGTGTTCTTCTTCCAGTTCACAATTCATTTTAAAGTTTTTTGGTTTAAGATCTGGATTATATAACTAATTTCAATCTAATTTTTTAACAGCCTGAAAAAGCTCCAAAAGTGTAAGTACCGTACTCAATTCTAAAAGGCAAAAAGGTAAAAGTTTCTGCATCAGCAGGGTACTAGGGGGAATCTTGTTGTATCATGATGAAAAAAGCCAATGTAAGGACACTTAAGAAACACAGCAGAACAAACTAGTGTTTTTTCCTACCATGAGAGGATCTTAATGTTGCTCAACTGAAAAAAAAAAAAAAAGTCAATAAATTCTGTATTTTCACTCACTGAAGAACAAAAGGGAACAGGAAGAGAAATCCACAGTAAAAGAATGAAGTGTTTGCAGAGATACTGCTGCACAGCTTAAACACCACATACCAGCCTTTCCAGTTCCATATGATGCTTATGGCCACATAGACATGAAAGTAATTTAAACTTTATCTCAAAAAATGTCCTAAGGTGAAAGAAACTACAATTTAGAATTTGGAGAAAAGAGCAAGTTACGCAACACTGAGAGGAAAACTCTTATTACATGCATTACACAAAATGAAAAGTTTCTACCTGCCACAGTAATTTCATTTATGACACGCTCAGTTTGACTGTGATGTGTTACTTGCTTACAATAGCCATAAATTGTAATGCAGTGCATTCACAGTACCATGACTTATGTCAATGCAATTTGCAGGCATTTTCTTTTTTAAGTAAATGTCTCAACAACAGAAGTTTAGCATTTGTGCACTGGTCACAAGTCACCAGGTTGGTCAGTCCTTACATCCGAACAAGACTAGGGACAGTAAGAATTCATGACTTCTCCAGTAAGAAACTAAGAAATGCAGTGACAGGAAGGGAGACCTCAGCCACCAGTACTACATGGACATAGATTCAAGCAGTGACACAAACCCAAAGACTGACCACTAGAGAAAAATATATTATTTTCATTTTAATTTTTGTTGCACAACATAGTTATGTCAAGAAAAACAACAACAGAATTAAGCTCAGGTACTTCAGAAATGAAGAAAGGGCTTGGCTTGTGGTTAAAGTCTTTAAAGTTCCATGAGGTAGAATATCATCAAGGATCTTCTTTCCCAGAATATATTAAGCAGGACAAATCCAATTTAGTTTTTAACGCTGTTGAAAATTCTTTTGATAGTAGTTCATGAAGGGATACTTTGTCATGAGAATACACCCAATTCCGCCCAGTCCAGTCATAGCGCTTGGGCCCACTAGAAAACAAAACACACACTGTGTAAGTATAGATTATTCATGGGAAGCTGCTCGAAGCCTGTATTTATAATGTCCCCAAAGAGTACCCAGGAAAAGGAAGCAGACAGCGTGGAAAAGGACTGCTGGGCAGTCTGAAGAAGTGGAGCAGAAAAGGCCAGACCTGCCAGGAATGGCTGAGCCATCCAACAGATAAATCTGAAAGGTGACAAGATTATCAGTCACTCCCTGTGGACATAAGCTCCTTGCCTTCTCACTTGATTTTGCCAATTTCTTTCCTCACCCTTTTCTTCCCTTACCCATGTAATTTTCTTGCACACAAATATGACAAGGGGTATAACGCTGAATTAATGCTATTAAGTAGTGCTCGCAACAGTCATGTGCAGATATTCTAGGCACAGCAGAACACAGATCACCACTCGTGTTCTTTTTAGATGGAACAAAAGAATTTACCGGCTGAAAACAAATACATTGGCACATGGGAGATTTATATTTAAAATGCTCTTTTCCTCTGTGCAATCATATAGTTGCTGGCTTGATTTTTCAGGCCTACATTAAGTCTCAAGAAAGAAACTCAAACAACCCAGGCCATTACAGACCTTTCTATCCACCCAATTCTCCACATCTGCATCAGGAGAATGACCGAAAGGCCCTTGCTACTGTTAATGTCAGTTGGAAAAACTAAGAAAAGAGAAAGGAATGAAATGGTCATCCGGGATAAACACACAAACCATCAGTCTTAACCTTGAACTTTAGGACAAAATGCCTTGGAACTCAAGAAAACCCATGCACAGGGTCTCCTAGAAAACAGACTATCCCATATATACACAAGAACAACCTGCAGGTTCTCTACGAACATAAACAGTAACCTGGACCTTGAATATCCTGAATTACTTGTAATATTCAAGTGAAGAACTTTCCAACCACTAACCAAACCGTGACAAGTCACAACTGCAAACAAATCGAAGTCACTCCCACTGAAATCTCACTTGCTGTATGTGAGCTGGTAACAATTTGAAGTTGAGTTTATTTGCTCCAGTCACTTTACTATGCATTTCTCACTGCTTTGTCTTTGCAGCACAAGTGTATGTTTATACTGTCCTGCACCTAGAGAATGACAGAATGGGATGCAGCCATGCAAGAAAATCAGGCTAAAACAGGCCATTTAATCAACAAAGGACAAAGAAATTTGTAAATTATTTAAACTGTTTTTAAATGTAAAATAGTAAGTAACAGTGGTATGGTTAGCATGTGAAACACCTCCATAGTTCTCTGAATCTCCAAAATGCTGCACAAATGTGATTTCTTTTTCATTTAAATTAACAATTTAAGGAAGGAGCTTGTGAATTCTATAAAATGCATATAATGTAAATATAGACTAAATATATTTCCCATGGAGAGTAATTTTTAAACAGCAAGAGAGAAAAATTAAAATATCACATTAAGGTACTACTAGGAAATGCTGTGTAAGGTTGAAAAGTATTTTCAATCAAAGGAGCTACAGGAAATTACTGCAATCACACTGCTGGCAGGTTGCACTCACCCTCTCACCCCCTTTTTAAAAAATTGTCAACTAATTAAAGCTTTACAAACACAAACTTATGTATACTTTGGTGTGTAGATGCATGATAGCCAACACCAGGTCAAAAAAATTTAAGAAAATGTCTCTCCCATCTTAAGAATTTGTATCCCTCTGGATACATTCTTAAAGACTCGAGATTCTATATTTACTCTACAAATTTCCCAAACATAACATTCAATGCAAGTAACCACTGGCAGTAACATTCTTTCACTTCCTAGTAAATTGCACTTAAGAAGTATGTCACTCCAGATCATACAGTATTTGCTCGAGTTTTTCAGAAGTTAGGAAGTAAGTGAACATGTAGCATCATATTTCAGGAAATACCGCTGTTTACTGTTAATATCAGTTAGGGAAGCACAAAACTTAATGTTTGTAGGTAAAACATTTTTCATCACAGATGATGAAAAATACCATCACAGAATTTTCAAGTTTATCTCCTTCCTGGTTGTCCTGGTTTCGGCTGAGACAGAGTTAACTTTCTTCATAGCAGCTAGTGTGAGGCTGTGTTTTGGATTTGTGCTGAGGAGAAGGCTGATAACATACTGATGTTTATAGTTGCTGCCAGGACAGTCAAGGACTTTTCAGCTTCTCTGCTGTGCCAGTCTCTGCAGGTGCAGGAGAAGCTGGGAGGGAGCACAGCCCTGATTACCAGCCTAGGACTCCACCTTGGGTTTAGGATTGAGACTCAAATGGGACAATGGTACATTCCATGTCAGGCATGCCATCCCCAGTGTATAGATGAGGCAGTACTTTCACTTTCTGGGTCAGCTCTCTCCAGGTGGTATCTTGCTCCAGGTTGTCTCCCTCTGGTTTGCCCCTCTCTCAGGGTCATCTTGGTCTCTCAAACACTCGGGCTCTTATCTGCATTCCAGGATTTTGTTTTCAGGACTCTTCCTGCTTCAGGATCATTAGCTGGGAATGGTCTGAGCCTTGGTCATTGGGTGGTGAGCAGTATCACTGTAGTATCACTCATTTGTATATTTGTATTTATTATTATTATTATTATTTCAACATTATTGTTGTTTTGTTGTTAAATTGTTCTTATCCCAACCTGTGAGTCTCTTTTTACCCCTTTAATTCCCTCCCCCATCCCCGGGAGGGGGCAGGGTGCGTGGGCAGTGTCATGTAAAACTACAACATTTGTGTATTTCTGTTCTCTACTGGAGCAATAAAAAAAAAATAATGAAAAGTTTACCCTTTTTTTCCCACTAATTCCATACACTGAAGCACATATGCCTCAGCTCAACCAATAGGAATTATCTGAATTTTGGTTTTCATAAATAGATGAAACCTTTCTGTCACTGACACAAAAATCTTATAGTCATCTTAAGCGGAATCAAGGTTCAGAAATTATGTTTGTTGCAAAATACATGGAACGAATAAATTCTGACACACAGCCTGCATCTGTCTAAACAAAAAGTTTTCTTAGCTTTCTAGGCCTGGGCATTGGCAAGTCATGTACCTGTTAAGTAAGTTATTTAATTAATAAAAGGATTCTAGGATAGGAAGAGTTAGTAGGAAAAAATTACTAACCTAGTATGCTGTGCACCAGCCAGTAGGTAAGTACACTGAAGCAAAGTTAGAATTTTCTTTAGGCAAATTTTACAGCTATTAAAATTGTTTATCTTAAAAATCTTAAATTGCATTGTGCCTTTTTCTTTCCCCAACACAAACACGACTACAGAATTCTAGTACTGCAAAACCATTCCCAGTTTTTGCAATCAATATATTATTTCTGAAAAACATTCAAGAGCTATGCCCGCATAGTTACTGGGAGTGTTCCTACATTCCATCTAGCTTGTTCCTTCACCAGTAACACTGACCAACTCCCTCACTTCTCTCCCTGGGATAGTGTCAGAGAATACAAGTTTCTGGGGAGACAGCTACAATGTTTTCCCACTTATCTGGCTGTGCTTCCTGATGAAACCAACCAGAAAACCTGGAATGGATCAAAACACAGTGTTAGAAAAAGCAGAGGGAACAGCTAGCCAAGGCTCCAGTAAAGTGCAGATGCTTTACAAAAACAGCTAGTGGGAGAGCACATAAACATATAAAGCAGGAAATCCCACAAGCTTAAAGGGGAAGAAGCCACCCTGTTTAAATACAAAGAGAGGTTTAGATCATAACATCATCATCACTCTTTTATCCAACAGAAGCTTTGTTGGTTTTTTTTTTCTAATCATGGCTGTTTGTTTTTTCTATGAATAAGCTATAGTCCTGTAGGCAGTGGCTTTGGACTGGAACAGGGTATGAAAATTCTGTATTATGCATTTCCTGGATTAATTCCGGTATGTCAATATAGTGCACCATGCCTCAAACCCCTATAACAAATTATCGAACATTTAGATTATATAATGTTTGGAGAATATACTGAGGAAAAGAGTTATTTATGAAAAGGAAATTACATAGTCTGTGCCGTGCTATAAAAAACGGGAAGTACATTTCCACCCAGTCTGCAGACATTACATAACTTACCTAGTGGGTGAGGACAGCCAAATCTGCCGGTTTGGTGTTTGCTTATTGATTACGTATGTTCCCATGTCTCCACCTAATTTAACTGTTAGAACTCCACTCTTAAAACACACAGAAAATAAGTGAGTAATTAAAAATTTGCATCCTGTTACTTGACAAGAATTATATAATCTGCAGTAAATAAACATAAACTTACACATCTGTATCACATTCCCAACTAGTTCCCAAATAATAGCTTGGAACAATGGTTGTTAGGTATCAAAAACTTGTGTTAATACCTAGGACAACCTGGATATATTAGAGTCTGATCTAGACTTTAAACCTTCTGGTCTGATTTAGCGTGTCTGCACCATTCACAGTAGCACTACTTAAATAATAATCTTCAGCTGTGACCTGTCATCATGAAAGGACTGCAACTTTTCTAATTTGTGAAAAATGCAGAACTGCTATGGTTCAAAGTCAAGAAGCTTTACGTGTCATTGCTTGATTCCTGAGCCATGCAATTCTACCCAACTTCTCTTAAATAACTGTAACAGTTTCCCAGTGAATAAATACAATTTTTTCTCTGATAATTCTGATGAAGTGCCTAGATCTGGAATCATACCTCATACCTCAATGCTCCACTTCTAAACAACATGAGGTCTGGCTTGTTTTAGTTATGCCAGCTTTAGACCATCATCCTAGCGAGCTTTTATTTTCTCTTTCTTAGCCACATTTCTTCCTGACAACATGATTCACATTTCTCTGATATTTTCATGAGCGCATTTGAAAAGCAGATAAAAACATTTCTGTCCTAACTTTACGAGTAAATGAACAACACTACCTGGAGGACTAGAATTAACCTACAGATGATCTGAATTATGCTAATTAAAAAGAGTATCTCTATAGAATACAGTTTGATGATTCAGGTAGTAGGTTAGTCATATTTAGTCTACCGTTTCTAAAATACTTCACGCCCTATATGACAATAAAGCTATAAGAGCAGGTTGGGGTGATTAGGCCTCATTATCAACATAAAGGTTTCACTGTTCTTTTATGTGCTCTGTAGTGCCATATTAACTATTCAGCATGATGTTATGCTGCATGCTACAGAAACACTGTAAGTAAATAGGTTTCCAAAGAGTTAACAAAAAATCTATACTATTGCTTACATTGTCAGCTATTGGAGTGTTGTTCCTCTGTCACTGCAAATTATTTAAATAAAGGTTAACTTCTAATGCTATGTTTAAAACATTTTCCCATACTTCTTGCAATACTTTTGAAACACCAGAAAATACAACCTGAGTTTTTAAGAACTTGAAATGCAAGATATTTTTACTGTATTATAAGGAATACTACTGTGTGAGTTTTGTACTACTGCGCAAACATTTGTTGGCTCCTAGTAACAAGAATGTTCTTCAAAAGAGAGTTTTTTTTCCCTGGACACGAAGATATAAATTGCATGAAGAAATCAAGTTTGTAACAATTCACTGGCATAACAGACCTTTATCACTTTCGCCACCTTGTGGCTTGCTATACCACTAGCCTCGTTTGTCTGGAACAAACTGGTAAACTTGAGACTATTTAACCTTTCGCTCTTAACAGAAATGACAACATATTATTATGTCACCATACAATCTATGCAACAAAGCAGTACTAGTAAAAATTAAGGTGGATGTAAAAATAATTCCTTTTGAGCCTCGCAGCGAGTCAATGTCAAACACAATCCACTCTACAGTGGCTGGATATAAAATTCCAACATAAGATGACTCATGACCTTCATGTAATGAAGTATCTAACGATGTCAGAGAGTTTGTCTTTTTTTTTTTTTTTTTTTTTTTTTTTTTCTTGCACAGTGCAACCCAAACCATCTACTTCAATGTCCCTGAGCATAAAATCTTAACTGATGGGGCTAGTAGAAAGCAATCTCCTAGTGAGTGATAAGGCATGAAGAGGGAGCAGTAGTTACGTGACCTCAAAAAAATGCAGTAGTGAAAGACCCATGCTGCAGACAGCAGTGAAGGGAGATATTTTCCTCCAAGTTGTGTAGAGGGCTGTAACATACAAACCATTTCAGGAATTGTATATAAAACCAGTAAATTCCCTATACAAATAGAATATAGACATTTTTGATCTGAGTCTTTCACTCCTGTAAAAGAAATTGAGCTATTAAAGGCTCCAATTATCAGGCTAGCAGCCACCCAATCTCTCCCATGACAGTAGCCTTCTCCCCATATATGCTCTGGTCTCATTTTTGCAACCACTTATCCAAACATTTCATCCTCTTGATGCTTCTCTCCACCACAGCCTGAGTCATCAGTAAAGCCAGCACAAACATACTCTACCTGGTCAAGACAAATGCTGCTTTTCAGTATTTAGGGCAATCAAAGAAACTGCTCTACCAGTTACATGTGATGCACACTATGACACGTAGGCTTGTCCTAGTACTCACCAGGAGGGAAGTGACTGCTGATGTCAGATGTCGATGTGTGTTTAGAAAAATTTACAAGTCACTGTGAAATTAGAAAGCAGTTTCTGTTTCCTCTTGTGCTCATTTATTATTCTGTACTATGTCTTTATACACTCAAAATTGTAAATCCTCAAATCATACAACAGCATGTGTTACTTTTTACTAGAATACTTGTGCCAGTCAGTATAAGCAGGCACATTTTTAAAACAAAGATGTAAAAACTCATTGTATTTTAAGTGTTGGCACTAAGGTGACTAATTTAAAATTCTACTTCAAAGAAAAACAAACTACAATAATCAGTGGTTATTTAAAACATACCCCTAAAGAGACATCATAATCTTCTGGGGTAAAAGGCTTATCTGTCAGGTCCTCAAAGAAATCTGCTAAGGAGTCCAGTGTTTCTTCAGCCAGTTTTTCGTAAGTGGTCTCATCTAAAGAGCTACAAGTGAAATACAAAGCCAAACTTAGGAGGAAAGACATGGAACACAGTATTTTCCCTATAAAAAAAAAGCAAGACCATAATCGTGGTGGAAACAGTAACTGAGAAATGATCACATAAAACAAATGGTAATTTTTCTTAAGGTAATGCAGGTAACAATCCACCTTATAAATGGAGGTGGAATTTAGAAATTCTGGTAGAAGAGATCTCTAACTGAGGAATACGTACTTCTTTCCTTAGATGAACTGACCCCTGTGTACTAAGAGGACAGAGTTAGACTTCAAAATAAGGCATTTTCACAAAAGGACTTTGTGCAAGAATACTTAATCTCTATGAATAGACACAAGTATATCCTGTTTAGAAGCATATGTCATTTGACTCTAAGAAACCCGCTGTAGCTAGAAGTAGTTTAGAAACATCAATACCAAGTGCCATGTCTATGTACAGTGTTTGACTTCTGAACTGGAATTAACAATGCAGCCCAGTAAGTTGATGTTATTTAAAGTCTGTTTATGAACTAATACATACAATTATCTTCTTCTTCAGAGAGTCTCAAAGCACCCTTGCAGCTATTATGTAAAGCTTACAGCACTTGTGAGACTGCTTCTGCTATCCTCTTTAAACAAGTCCCCACTAATTTTTTATACAAAGTCTAGAACAGTTTAATTAACCAAATGTAATTAAATCATGTCAGTTTTTCCATCCACGTTGACTGTCAACTTTTAAACAAGAGTGTAGGTGGATATCTCTAGCAACAGACAATTCAATAACATAATTTCAGTTTTTCCTAATGGGTATGGCAATACAACAGGTACTATGAACCACGGTGACTCAGTATCTTTCAGTTGATGGTACAGAACATAAATTTTTTAAAAAATTTCTTGCTAGCCAGTTACGGAAATACACTCTATGCCACATATGTGAGGGACACCACAGAAACTCCTAGCGGTGTGGACAATGGAAGGCCTTAGGATTAGGCAGGATTCATGTTCAGTGTGCAGTTCAGGTACTTAATGGCAAGAGGCAGTTTAGACATCTGCACGGTCCTTCACTGGGCCTCCAACAGCTCCATCAGAAAGTGTCTTTTACAGGTACTGCGTCACATCCTGGCAATGCAAGGCAGAAATTTCATGTGCCCTGACACATGTGAAATGGTGCCAGACACCTATGTTTAGGTACATGAATTATTTCTAAAGTGACTTCCCACATTAACCCAAAATGCCTTTTGCTAAAACTGTACTTTTCCCCTACTTCATATCAACATTACATTAGCTTGATAGTCTTGTCACATCTAGAAATTATTTTAAAATTGAGAGACAATATTTTCACATTAATATCTCAACATAAAATTTACCTTGTGTCATTCAGAGTTCCTGCATTTCTTAAATTCATGAAGCGAATGGTCTTGCTCTTTACCTCTGGAGCATACTGTAATTTCTGCTGAAAGTAACCATAAGTAAAATGGACTTAAAATGTTAAGAATTATAAATTACATATTTGTCACATAAATTAAATAGATCCTTGAAGACCTTTCCGCCTTCCCTCCCCCCTGTAAATTATTCATATTCTATGTCACAGAGCTAATATGAAAGAATTGGTCCTTGGATGACTGAAGGCAGTCTATATCCTCGTCTTCTGCCACAAACTAATGAAAACAAAAAATAATTTTACTCATAGAATAGGGAACTAGGAAAGAGAAGAACTGTTTTATTTTCCATTGCTCTACCACAGAGTTACTGAGCAACTTCAGACAACTGGCTTAAGCCAAGATTTTCACAGGTATCCAATACTCAGCTTCATTATCAATATCTTGGGTCCCTCTGTTAAAATCCATGAATATATTCAACTGAAATAAACAGAAGCCCTGAATCCTCCTTACTTCCAAAAGTTAAGAGCTACCATCACACTTCACATTCCCTATCTCTTCTCCTGATGGCTTTCTGTGTACTTACACAAGGTTTTGAAAACTGAGTTGAAAAACAAATGGACATTTAAAAAGGAACTATGACAGCACCTCTTCAAGCACACGAGAGCAAAACACAAAAACCCCTCTCTTCCTACGGTGGGACACCTATCCTCAGGCACTACAGATGAATTGGCCTGTCAGTCCCAAGCTACGACATGGACAAAATACACACTGATACCGACATGTTTTTGCTCGTACCATTTAGCATATCGTTAACAGACCCTTAGGATCAAAAGCTCCACGAGCATAAACACGTTCACGTTCTGGTCAGATGGACAAGCTGTAACTCCGTTAGCGCGCTCATACTCGATTTATGGCTTGAGGCTGCCAACACGGTGCGAGCATACAGCTGGTGTCCCCCCTGCACACACCAAACCCAGGGGCAAGGTCGGCCAGCACGCCTCTTCTGCCACCGTTCAAGGGCAGCAAACAAGGCGCAGCTTTGCAGGACAGCACGCCTGCGCCTGCTCGGCCTGGGAACCCCCGGGGCCGCCCGCCCAAGGCCGCTGC